TCTGGAGAAGACATCTAAAGGAGAAAGGACAAGTCTTTCCATTCAAGGAGGTTTTATTTCTGCAGGAGTCCATACATCCTCAAGAAACTGTCAGACTTCCTACCCATTGTGACTTCTTAAAACAACAACAACAATAACAAAACTGTCAGACCAGGATGAATGTATTACAGCCCAGCCCAAGGGAGGCATTAAGTGCTGTGGTGACGAAAAGGCTGTGATAACAGAGGAAATATTTCAGATCTCTGGAATGTAATTAAAATCTCCTCCAGTTGTCAGGAATCAGGAAATACTTATAGAGGAAACTTAATGGATTTATAAGAAAATGTAATTAATTAAATAAATTTATGTATTTATTTATTCATTTATTTATTTTTAGAAACAGAGTCTTGCTCTGTTGCCCGGGCTAGAGTGCCATGAAGTCAGCCTAGCTCACAGAAACCTCAAACTCTGGGGCTCAAGAAATCCTCCTGCCTCAGCCTCCCTCATAGGAGGGACTACAGGTACCTGCCACCACGCCCAGCTAATTTTTTCTATTTTTAGTAGAGACGGGGTCTCACTCTTGCTCAGGCTGGTCTCAAACTCCTGACCTCAAGCAACTCCAGCCTCAGCCTCCCAGAGTGCTAGGATTACAGGTGTGAGCCACTGTACCTGGCCAAATTAGATATATTTAATGGATAAACATTAAATTCAAGAGTAGAGACTATGCTGATTCCTCATTTTATTCCTAGAACCTAGTTTAAGTCCTCAACAAATTTTCTTAAACTGATCTTGAATGATTGATTGGATTAAACCCTGAAGAACTAGTAACACTAGTTAAGGAAAATTGGGACGAGCAGAACTGATCTTTCCAAAGAAAAGAAACACAAATCATGAGCGAAAACAAGAAGAAAAATGTGAGCAGAGTGTAGCCTAATTTGGTTGAAGTGAAGTGTTTACAGAAAAGGTCATATTTGAAAGTTTAATGATTTTTTTTTTTTGAGACACACCAGTTTCAGTAGAGAGGTGAAAGCTGGAGTCCAATATCAAGATGTTTCCTGAGCATGTGGGGGGGGAGTAGAGCAACCAGGGTGAACTCTTTTTTTTTTTTTTTGAGACAGAGTCTCGCTTTGTTGCCCAGGCTAGAGTGAGTGCCGTGCGTCAGCCTAGCTCACAGCAACCTCAAACTCCTGGGCTGGAGTGATCCTTCTGCCTCAGCCTCCCGGGTAGCTGGGACTACAGGCATGCGCCACCATGCCCGGCTAATTTTTTACATATATATCAGTTGGCCAATTAATTTCTTTCTATTTATAGTAGAGACGGGGTCTCACTCTTGCTCAGGCTGGTTTTGAACTCCTGACCTTGAGCAATCCGCCCGCCTCGGCCTCCCAAGAGCTAGGATTACAGGCGTGAGCCACAGCGCCTGGCCAAGGGTGAACTCTTTATTTCAGACATTTGGCTGAATGAAAATAGGCAAAGGGAGAGAAATTTTAGGTTTGAGAGAATACTTTTTAAAAATTATTATTTTCAGAGATAGGTACTTACTCTGTTGCCTAGGCTGGAAGGCAGTGGTGCCATCACAGCTCACTATAACCTCGATCTCCTGGGTTCAAGCAATCCTCCTGCCTCAGCCTCTAAAGTGGCTGGGACTACAGACCCATGCAGGACCACAGGCACATGCCACTGTGCCTGGCTAATTTTTTTGTTTGTTTTTTGTAGAGATGGAGTCTCACCACGTTGCCCAGGCTGGTCTCATAGCCTGGATCTCTTGGCCTCAAGCCATCCTCCTGCCTCGACCTCCCAAATTGCTGGAATTACAGATGTAAGCCACCAGACCCAGCTGAGAGAGTACTTTTGTAGGGAGAGAGAGAGATGTAATAAATAAAGAAGGAAGGAAAGACTGAAGATGCAAGTGGGAAAGAAGACATGATAGATAGAGAAGGATCTCTTAGGACAAATGAGGGCACAGGATCAAAATAAAAGGGGTAAGAGGCCCAGGACTGAATTGACACAAGCCTCATATAGACTTTGCTACTAGCTATTTAATTTGGGGGAAGTCACTGAACCTTCTGAGTTTGTTCTCTCATCTGTAAAATGAAGATAGAACATATAAGATTATGATGTTTAAATAAAATAACATTTGTTAAATACCTGGCACATACAGTATACCACTATAAATATAAGTATATTTTTATTGAATTCTCCAGAGAATATCTATATACTTATAGAATATATGTAAATATAGAAGTATGTTGATTTCCTAGGGCTGTGGAATAAATCACCACAAACTGGGTGGGTTAAAACAGCATAAATTTATTCTTTCACAGTTCAGGAGGCCAGAAGTGTCAAACCAAAATCTCATGAAGATTGATTCCTTCCTGGGGGCTCAGAAGGTGAATCTGTCCCATGTCTCTCCCCTGACTTCTGGTGGTTCCTGGCAATCCTTAGAGTTTGTTCCTTGGCTGGTAGTAGCGTAACTGTAATCTCTGGCCCTGTCATTACAGGGTGTTCTCTCTGTCCCTGTGTGTGTCCCTCTCTTCTCTTTTTCTTATAAGGACAGCTCTCAAACTTAACTGATTTTTTTTTTTTTTAAACAGAGTCTTGCTTTGTTGCCCAGGCTAGAGTGAGTGCTGAGGCATCAGCCTAGCTCACAGTAACCTCAAACTCCTGGGCTCAAGCTATCCTTCTGCCTTAGCCTCCAGAGTAGCTGGGACTACAGGCATGTGCCACCATGCCCGGCTAATTTTTTCTACATATATTAGTTGTCCAATTAATTTCTTTGTATTTATAGTAGAGAAGGGGGGGGGTCTCACTCTTGCTCAGGCTGGTTTCGAACTCCTGACCTCGAGCAATCCGCATACCTCGGCCTCCCAGAGTGCTAGGATTACAGGTGTGAGCCACTGCGCAGGCCCAGCCACTTAACTGATTATTTAATTTACTTAAACCTCAAACTTAATTGATTACATCTGCAAAGATACTGTTTCCAAACCCTATTTCCAAATAAGACTACATTTTAATTTCCAGATTGACATGAAATTTGCAGGGGATACTATTCAGCCTGGTACAAGAAATATATTGCTGACTTATCCTTATTTTTATGATAGCTTCAATAGGCTATTTTGTATAAAAACTAGGATTTGGCCCTTACAAGGGAGGATAGCTCAGGTCATGGAATTTGGATCTCATCAATTCCTCTTCCAGTTGTGTAGCCTTTGGAGGCTGTACCCTCTTTAGCTGCCAGTTTTCTCATCTGATAAAGGGGGAGAATAATACTTCAGAGTGTTTGGGGGAAGATTATGTGATGTCATGTATGTAAAGTAATGTATGTATGTAAAGTAACACATTTAGCATGGCACCTGGCCCACAGGGCCTGTGCTTGGCCCACTCAACAAAGGCTGAGCTGTAGTGTAGGTGGGTGGAAGTCTAGGTTTCTGTTCATATAAACTAAGAAGATTCCTCATTTTCATACAGTTGCAGGCTAAAAGTGCTGTTTTCAGGGCCAGTTGCATTGTTCTGACACCACTTTCCTACCAAGATTTTCCACACCTGGTTATTCAATACTAAGATGAATGATTTACCACTATTGTTGACTCACATTCCACAGAAATACTGAATCACTTGTCTTTGTCCCTCAATGTCTAGCATTTCAGTTTGCTCATTTACTCTATAATCACTTTGTTTCTGTACTCCAAAAAGCAGCTATTTAAACATCATCTTCTACAAGTTTTTTTTTTGAGAAGATAATTTAAAAATATTTAAATCAATAATGTCTGAAGTTTCATGAGTTTAATACATTATATCACTAAACCTCTGTAACTCTTTAAGGTAGAAAACCACATATTTTATCTCAGTTTTTAAAAATAGAAAATTGATGTTCTAAGTGGTTACATGACATAAATACAACAATTAGCTCTATCCTGACCAGAGGAAATATGGTAATAGCTATATTTTCCATGGCACTGGTGTACATTAGCCATATTGTAGGAACTCATTGTCAACCATCTGGTAACAAAATATAAAAATTTTAATCAATATTTTTTGTCTATGGTAGGTCATTATCTTGTCTATAAAGATGACTTACTACCATACCTTTGAGTAAACATGGCCTGAAGTTATATTGCCAAAATCTATATTGATCTCCTATTGGTTTGCTTGATTTAACACACAACTTTGTTAACATGCTGTTTTCTAGTGTGCTGTACTAAGAAGATTGGCGGGTGGGGGATTAAGAATCTGAATGTACTCTTTGCCATGCTTAAGGCACTTTTATGTTATGGGTTCAAACTCTATTGTATTCAATTGATGTTAATGAAGTTATATATAAATATTAATAACAGCACAGTAGAGTAGGACCCTTTAACACTATTCTTCTAGCCCCCAAACAGGCAAATATTCTTAGGATTTTAAGAATTTCTGTATATTATTACCTGTTATGAACTGCATGTATAACTAGGCAGGCAGGGAATTTTACAGACTGACTTGTGAAATCAAGACAAATTGTGCATTAATTTCAAACTTCAGAAAGCCCAAGGTTGTGTACCAACTACCTGAATCTAAAGAAGCCAAATACACAAAATTTCTAGCAGTTCAAAACAAGCTACATATGCTTTAAATTTAGTATTTTGGCTTTACTTATATTTTAGAGTATATCTACATGAGTCTTTTGGTTTACTATGTAATAAAGAAGTCATTTTCATTTATAAGAGCAATATATGACATGCAAGGAAGCATCTAAAACACAAAAGACAAGATTGTTTTTGTTTCTTCTGAATTCATTGGAAGATGAACTGAAAAGTTTTTTTCTCCATCTCCAATTTCTGTGACTGTAGTATGTTAGCCTGGCATTCCACCACATATAAACTTTTAACAGAACACAGATTTCATGAATTTGTGGCTTGCCTGCACTTCCTTTTTTAAAATCCTGGACATTTGCAGATGAAAATATCTCCGTTACCACTTAAATACTTTACAAAGTAAAAATATAAACTCTTTGCAGATTTATTTCAAAACATTCTAAACCCCAACATTCTTTATTGATACAAAACCCACATACATTAAGCAATTTGAAGATTTAGTGTAAATAGGCACCACTTTGTAGTAGGTTCGGTACAGATAAAGCATTTCAGCACAGATTCTGCCACAAAGCATTTGGGAGTCTTAAGTTAGAGCTTCAGAATTCCTTCTGAAAAGGACAAAAGAAAGACTTCCTGTCATTTCCACTGGTTTCTGCATGTGGGATCAATATGGGCAATGCAAAGTTTAAACAGATGCAAATGGGGAGGGGAGGAGGAAATGTCATGCCTTGTTTTACATATTTCTCCATATCCAGATTGAATTTAAGTCAGTCTTTCCTTGGAGCTTCCAGAGAAGACGTCCACCGAAGTTACAGCATGCTTGAATGGTCTATTTCACCAATATTTGCTTATGGAAATAAAGGGGAGTGACGGGGGGAAAAGAGGAGAGAAGTGGAGGAGGGGTTTGAAGCTGAGGGAGGCTCTGACCACAGCCCAGCACTCCATAACCCTGTCTGATGTGATCATTAACCTTTCTGGAAAAGGCAGCTGGCAATTCTCTGAGGTTGTCTTTAGGATGTGAGGAGAGCCACACAGATACTGCACAGACTACAGATTGTTTGGTTTACTTTGAGAGCTGTTGGTCCACTTTTGTGTGGCAGAAAAATGAGATTTCACCCATTCCTTTTTGCATTTTTTATTTTTATGATGAGTCTTCTCCTTATCAACGGACAGAGACCAGGTAGGACTTTGATACAGTTGTACCGAGTAACTTATTATTCCTGTTTGTGTTCCTGGGTCCCTGAGCGGGATTTTATTTATCTGAAAATCACTTAGGTGTGCTTGCAGTTAATAGTATTACGGGTAAATGTGTAGGATTTTGGAAGTATGCTATTTATCCTGTTGGATATATTATCTGGATATTTTTTAAATGGCTGGACTTTAGAATGATAATATGATCTTTATCATTAAAATGATAAAATGATCTTACAACTATTTTTTTCTAAATGCAAGGAAAATTTATCACTAAACTATTGCAGATATGTTGTCCTTACAAGTAAAAAGAAATGGAAATGTTGATTTATTCATTATAGAGGTAAATAAACCTATAAATTTTTAGGTAAAATGCAAAATCCAAAGCAGTTTATTAAAAAAGCATGTTGCTGGCTAGAGTAGAGGCTGAATTAACAACATTTAAAAATCATAATGTCTGAGATTTACTCAGTTTTTGGCTATCTCCCATGTATAATTAAGTATATGTGTTATAGTTAAAAAATTGAAAAACAAAAAACAATATGACAAAATACAGGTGAAATATTAATAGCTGTTATTTCTAGTTATATAATTAGGTATATCATTTAAAACAAATAAGTGCATTTTTTATTATTATTATGTTTATAGAGCCAAAAATTTCAAAAATATATGTGGCCAAGCTACATAATATTAATATACTTGACACCTTTTTCAGTTTTTCAATAATTGATATTGGTTATGTTATATTTAACCAACAGGAAGTTAGTAGACAAAATTATCATATGTGCTCATACTTCAAAAACAAATAAGATTTCAGAGCACTGGTAAGTTAAAAAAAAATAGAGTTTTCTGACTCAGGAAAATTTTTGCAGGAAGTTATTGCAAACCCAACTTTAAGCAGAAAGTTGATAATATTTACATCCAAATATGTTAGATTATTTACTTGGTAATATACTTCTCCAGTTAGAACAGAAAATGGTACATAAGTGGTTAAAAATTTAGACTTTGCCTTTTAGTTAATTGGAAGTTTGATCGCTGTGAGTTTATTTCAAACGACGTCCCCTGGTCTGTACGTTTACATAAATAATAAAGTTCTAAGTCAGCAGCTTAGAGAGAGCAGCTTGATCATTTCTTATTGTTTACAGTAAGGGCTATTCAAACCATTTCTACTTTTTCAAAATACAGAACACCTTAGACAATATTATTATAAAATATTTGTGATTAATTTACTGCATAAAAAGGTCTAGGAGCACTTAGGAAGAAAGCTATCTAAAAGGAGGAGGATATTACTATTAAGATCTTGCTATTAACATTTCCTGTTAGGAATACATCTTTTGTGTATGAATCTCATTAATTTTTTATATCATAATTACATCTGAACAAAATAGCTACAGCATAGTTTGGCTCCAAAATACAGTTTTGCATTCTCCAAATTAATCAACAAATTTCTGAAAACTGCTCCTAATATTTCTTTTTTCTTTTTTTCTTCAGCTAATTTGGCCATGAGAAGAAAATTGCACAGACACAACTGCCCTCAGAGGAGATGTATGCCTCTTCATTCACGAGTGCCCTTCCCCTGAGGTAGTTCTGATAGAAAATAGTTTTACTATTTAGTTTTAATAGTTTTAAGTAGAAAATAGTTTTACTATTTATATTTACTAAATATATATATTTAGTCAATGTTCCATATTGGATATATTAAAGAATGTTTACTCATATTTTGTAATATGTGATAATGGCTTATGGTGATGTCAAAGCTTAAGAGAGGCATACTAATAAATGAAAGAGTGAAATGAATGACAGGATGTTTGAGAATTGCTTTAATAGTTAAGGAAGAAACGAGATAGGTGAAAATGTAGGAAAGTCTTGATCATTGTTAAATCTGAGTGATAACTACATGGAGGCCAATACTATTGTGTGTGTTGAGAATTTTCATAATTAAAAAATCAAGCACTGGAAGAATTTAATTATAAAATTGTCTTTATACATGTGTTTTGAAAAACACTGGCTAGCTCTTGGTTATATACTCAGGACAAGCACATTTCCATTAAGATCACTGTGTACCAGAAAGCATTGGGACATATTACCTAACACCATACCAGTGATGGACTAGCCTCAATACTGCAGGGCTTACTTTTTCTGAATATATTTCTTTTTTTTTTGAGACAGAGTCTCGCTTTGTTGCCCAGGCTAGAGTGAGTACCTTGGTGTCAGCCTAGCTAACAGCAACCTCAAACTCCTGGGCTCAAGCGATCCTGCTGCCTCAGCCTCCTGAGTAGCTGGGACTACAGGCATGTGCCACCATGCCCGGCTAATTTTTTTCTATATATATTAGTTGGCCCAATTAATTTCTTTCTATTTATAGTAGAGATGGGGGTCTCACTCTTGCTCAGGCTGGTTTCGAACTCCTGACCTCGAGGAGCAATCTGCCTGCCTCAACCTCCCAGAGTGCTAGGATTACAGGCATGAGCCACCACGCCCAGCCGATAGTATTGGTCTTAATGGTTGCATCTCTAAGGATAAATTTTGAATAGAATTTTGCTCCTCCCTTTTTTGCTTTTACACTCACTAAATAATTTTACACAACCACTATCATCTGTAATACTGTTTGAATCAATTTACTTCAAACACTGCCCAAGTCTAAGTCACCTCAAACTAAAAAATAAATACTTTGGCATTCCATTGCAATTATTTTAAGCTCATTAATTCATTTAAAATATATTTCTTCTAAAGAATGCTATAGAAATATCTCTCAGTTGGTTAATACACACAGGCAATGGCTAAATTAGCTTATTCAGTTGGTCTGTAGACTAGCTTTTATGGCTCTGTTCATTCAGTGGAAAGAAGGGTTGCTATGCCTATTGTTTAATTCCTGCTTTTCAAACCCCTTGAAAGCCCTGGAGTAGGAAGTTAAATGAGGAAAGAACAATTCAGTAATAAGCATTTATCAAAAGGACTAAGTCAAAAAGCCAAGTTCTCTATGCCTATATCTGTGACAAATTACTCTTTGCTATCAAAATATGAAAAATGGGTTTGGTGGAGGAATCCAGAAAGATATAGTAGGAGGCTGCTGAGAAGCCAATTAAGAGTCATTGAATCATGCTTTAAAGGATTTAATATGTTAAAATATCCTTTGGTGTGTGTTGATAATGATTCCAGCAGAGCATTTTAGTTTCATATATAAAATATTAGTAAAATCTGTGCTTAGGAGTGGAGAAGTTCCAGATTTTTCCAGTACTCCCCCATAAATAACAAAGAGGAAAAGACACATTCTACAATAGCAAGAGAATTCCTGCATATACAGAGAGAAATACCTTACAAAAATAGGAACACAAATCCTTAGCCATACTTTATCTTCAAACAGCCTACTGTGAAAACCAGGGTTGCAAGTAAACAAAATAGAGTAGTGAAATTTGAATTGTTAAAGTCAAGGGAAATTTTGAGCTATAAACTGAGTTTGTAAAGCAAAGGAAAATTTAAATAAAAGCTATATAAACCACTTAATAGCAATCCTTTACAAAAGTTTGCTGATAGCTTTATAGAACTGCTCAGGTTACAGCATCCATTTTCTCAGTTTTAGGCTAGTTCTACATTCCAGTCATGGTTCTTTGAAGAATATTTTACAGTCACCTGAATCCAGTGATTACTATAAAAGCCAATGTAAAACAAACATTAAGACAATTTCCCAAGATCATGCTCAGCTAGTACTATAAAACTGCTGTCTTTGTATTCGATAACATAATTCTCAGTGTCTTAAATATTTTCACATTTGTGTATGTCTTGCAACAAGGGCACTTTGACAACCAGGTAAATGCACTCTGGACCTATGTAGTGGACTCTAAGGCAAAAGCTCCCTTTCATTTCTCCTGCTCTGTTTTTTGGATGGTTTAGATAAAATCACACATGGTTATTTGATTCAGTTAGGGTCAAGTAAGACTGTAAATGGGATAGCTAAAGCAAACAATCCACTCTGGAAGTTTTCCAGATTAACACTTTAGAGTGGCTTAGACCTTTAACTCATTTAATAGGAACACCTTGTTATCTTTATTCTGCTCAGTTTTCCAGCTCCTAGGGTCCTCCTCATTGATCCTCAGCAAGATTTCCAAGCCTATAGAACTGAGTTAACTAAACAAAAAAAACTATGCTGTATGCAGTTTATTTCCTCGATTTCTTTTTTCTCACAGAAATATTTTGGCATCACCTTCAGTTCTAAGGGAATCAAAGTGGAGGCGGCTGAGAGAAGGAAATGCAGGCTTGTAGGTTGATGTGAGAGCCCTGGAGTGGGAAATGTGGAACTTAAGATTCAAATGACTTCCCCCTTCCAACAGTGAAATCTCACCCCATCAATGCTTTTATTTATAAATATGTACTCTAGATTACTATTTCTCCTGTGAATATATACTCTATCTAGCTTGTTAGTAATAATTGTAATACATGTTCATGCTATAAAATTTATTTATTTCTAACAGCACGGAAGAATAAAGTCAAAAGCACAAATTCTCCGTCCTGCCCTGTTGACTAATTTCACTTCCCAGAGCTTATGAGAAGATATTTGGTAGCAAGTGCTTTTTTTTTTGAGACAGAGTCTCACTTTGTTGCCCAGGTTAGAGTGAGTGCTGTGGCGTCAGCCTAGCTCACAGCAACCTCAAACTCCTGGGCTCAAGTGATCCTACTGCCTCCCAAGTAGCTGGGACTACTGCTACTCAGCCTCCCAAGTAGCTGGGACTACTGCTACCATAGTGGCATGCACCAAGTAGCTGGGACTACTGCTAGCCTCCTGCCTCAGCCTCCCAAGTAGCTGGGACTACTGCTACCATGGTGGCATGTGCCACCATGCCCAGCTAATTTTTTGTATATATATTTTTACTTGGTCAATTAATTTCCTATTTTTAGTAGCGATGGGGTCTCTCTCAGGCTGGTTTCAAACTCCTGACTTCAAGCAATCCACCGACCTCGGCCTCCCAGAGTGCTAGGATTACAGGCGTGACCCACCACGCCCGGCCTGCAAGTGCTTTTTTTTTTTTTGGGGGGGGGGCCAAACCACGTGGCTTTATTATACACTCGTGGACGAGGTTCTGGGGCCCCAAGAGAGGGGGGCCCCGGAAGTCGCCCTGCAAGTGCTTTTTAATACATTATTTTAAGTTGAGTCCAGCCAATACTCTGGTCACCCTTGCTTACCATTCAATGTGCTATTTTCTGCCTTTTTCTTACCCCCTTGCAGTAAGGGGCTTCTGACTCCCTTGTCCAGACCTCTGTTCTGCTTCCTAATACTTTTCTGCAGTTGTCCTATTGTCCCTTCTCTCTTCATTCTCTCTACCCAACTCTGCTGTCAGCACAGAATCTCTACTTTACCAGAGTGCTTCATCTCCAACTTTAGCCATGGCCAAAGAGTTCTGGGAAGAACTCTTCTGCTCATTTTTAGGCACCTCTGCTCCCCATTTAGCTATATTTCAAGCCATTAACTAACCTCCTCTGCCAACTCACAGCAAGAGATAACTCCTCCCAGATAGTATCACAGAGAAAATGGAGATCATTAAGCCTCAAAATCCTACCCCACCCTCAAACTGCAAACACTACAATGACAAACTACAAACTACCTCTGGCACACTTCTTTTATTTTCCCTTCCTAGTCTTTCACTAAGACGTGTCTCTCTTGGGTATGGTTAATCTCTCTACACTTCAAAGACTTTGATCAGTAATTACTCCCTTTCCCCCCACCTCCCCCTAGAATGTTCAATATGTCAAAACTATTCTATTTCAGAAAGAAAGAAAGAAAGAAAGAGAGAGAAAGAAATGAACTGAACAGAGGGAGGGAGGGAGAGAGGGAAGGGAGGAAGGAAAGGAAAAGAAAAGAGGGAGGGATGGAGGATGGAAGGAAGAAAAAAGGTCCACCAATGACCCCACAGTGCTCTCTAGTGACCAGCCCATGTTCTTCTCCTCACAGGCAAATTTCTTGAAAAGATGTCTGTTTCCTTCCATCTATTTTCTTTCCTTCTTTCTTTCCTTCCTTCCTTCCTTCCTTTCCCTTCCTTCCTTCCTTCGTTCCTTCCTTTTCCTTCCTTCCTTCCTTTCCTGACAGAGTGAGGCCCCTGTTCTCCAAAAAAAAAAAAAAAAGATAGTAACAATAGAAATGGAAAGGCCATTCAAGAATTATTTCAAGGTAGAAATGACAGGTTTGAGAACCAATTAGAAGTGAATAATAGGGCACCTTGCTTAGAAATTTATTGAATGAGATAGTACCATGTGTATTTCATATCACAGTGCCTAATATTTAGCAAACATCTAGTACATGGTGACATTATATTTATTTCCTAAAGTTTGAGAACACAGAAGGAGAAATAACTGTGGGAAGAATTGAATATTTCCTTTTAGGTATCCATTCACTCACTCATTAATTCATCAAATTTTATTTTATTTTATAGAAATTCAATTTCTTAATTTTCTTTTTCTTTCCACAATTACTTGGATTAGAATTTCATCAATTTTTTGAGGTTTACCATAGTCACTGGCGATAGCTGTAACCAAAGTAAGTCCTTATTCTCATAGAACTTACATTCTAATAAAGAGAAGTAGATACTAAACATAATACAAAGTAAAATATACAAGAGCTGTCTGGAAAGTATCCATCCATTGTTATATAACGAGAATGGTTACATGGCTGATACTTTCCAGACAGCCCTGGTATGTGTTATATATGTCGGATGGAAATAGGTGTTACAGAAACAAACCAAGATAAGGGAATAGGGTGCTTGAGTATTACGAGATATTGCTATTTTATGTCAAGTCATCAAGGAAGGACTTCTGATGCAATATGTGTATTGGAACAGAGAATGAGGTATGAGAATAAGCCTAAAAAAAGCCATGGTAGAGATTTGCATATGCAGTGTAGGCAAAAGCTTAAGATGCCTATAGACATCTGAAGTGATTCCATGTAGGCAATTGAACATACTGTAGAGTCCTAAAAAAAAAAATCATGATTTGTTTCAGAGAGAAGTAGGAAGCATGGCATCATTAAAGCCCAGGACAACCCATTCCATCCTTGACCAGGCCTGAATGTGTTCACTGGGATTCACCAGAAGGAAGTCATGAGGGACTTTTCTGAGAAAGAAATAGGGAGCCATGTATTGAAAATAGATGGGAAGGACGGGCTCAGCCTGTAATCCTAGCACTCTGAGAGGCCAAGGAGGGGAAGATCCTCAAGGTCAGGAGTTTGAAACCAGCTGAGCAAGAGCAAGACACCATCTCTACCAAAATAGAAATAATTGACCAACTAACAATATATAT